TGAATAATAAATGGTCTGATTGGTAAGGGCGTGAAGATGGGTCAATGAGGTTTTTACAATAACAACAAAGCCAAAGTGGAGTGAGTAAAGACGCAACCATTAAATTATACATATGATCTACAGGGCATGTTATACATTGGGCTGGAATAATTAGTGTTTTTGGTTAGGTTATAAGCTGTCTTGTCTTGCTGCTTTTTCCCACTGCGGAGAACCACTTACCTGTTGTATCATTCGGCTAAGTGGGGGTAACTGTGACCCTATACGCCAGTGCACACGACCTAATCGCAGGATCATCCAGAATGCCCATGAATTTCTCTTCCATTTGTCGTAAGTTGGAAAATGACTTTTTACAGACATTTATGTATAGGAAACATAACATACATACATATGCAGTTTCAAGCATATAAAATTTATCTTAAAATTACTTACATATTTAGGAATGGTCATATCTTTATTTTTGTCTCTGATGTGAATGTTTTGAGAATTTTTTTTCCAATTGTGGACCTTCCTGTACAGCGCTTATCATACGTTATAGAGAACAATTGATGTATGAATCTCTATATATAAATGTAAACACAAGTTAATTATAAATATTGAATTTTTTTAATAAAATTTGATCTTATTTATTTGAAAAAGAAAATTATAATGATTCAGAAAAATTAAAATAAAAAAATTGAAAATTTTAAGTTACAAATGTTAAAGTAGATTCCTGCATTTACTCCCCTTCCAGTGAAACACCTATTTATTAATAATAATAATGGTTAAATGTAACTTCTTTTGTTTGGTGCTTGTCAGTGTTGTTGTGTTTCGTGAAGAAGTGGTTGACATAATATTTACTGGTTTAAGTAAATCTATTGATTATGTTTTAATTTTATTTCCATATTGTATTTCAAAAGTTTTGTTATGTTTGGATATAACTTTAAATGGTCCTTCATAAGGGGGTTGAAGATTAGACTTATGACAAATACGCATTCACAAGAACTTAAAATTTTTGGAATGTAACTATTTTCTTTACTACGACGTATTACCTTCGATCGAACGTGGGGGAAATGTTTTCTTAATTTAGAAAGAATTTCATTTGTATTTTCAATTTCGTAATTATAATTATAACTGGAAACAATAGGTTCACCCGGAAGTCTCAGTGCTTGACCACAAACTAATTCAGCTGAAGAACATTTAAGATCATCCTAAATCATCCACTGTAAAATTTCAGGCCACCGAACTGAATCATTTGATGCTGTAATTCCAGTTTTCAAAGTTCTACGAAATCTTTCAATCATTCCATTTGACTGTGCATGATATGAAGAAGTGTGTATTTTGTGAGAACCTAATAACTTTGTTAATTATATAAATAATTTTGAAGTAAATTGTGTTCCTTGATCTACCGTTACATTGAGTTGCATACCGAAATGAGGAACATAACTTTGAATAAATGTAGTTACAACAGAAACCGCTGAAATGTCTTTAAGTGGATATGCTTCCGGTCAGTGATTGTTAATATGTATCGACTCTCCTTTGATACTGACAGAGGTCCTACTAGATCCATATGAATATGTTCAAATAGTCCAGAAGGAATATTAATCTTTTGAATTGGAGTTTTTAAGTTTTTAGTAACTTTAGATTTTTGACAGTTATTGCAAGATGGTTTTCAACTATTAATTTCTTTAAGCATATTAGACCAAAAATATTTAGATGGACGTTGAGTTATTCAAACACTTGGATGTGAAAAGAATGAATTTTTTCAAAAATAATTTTTCTCGTTGAATTTCTCATTGAACATATGGTCTAAAAGGTGTTTGCGTAACATCACATCAAATATTGAGATTAAGAATAGGTACATTAATTTTTTTTTTTAAATTACTATTAGCATTTGGATCTGAAATAATATTTTTAAGTATTTCACCCCGAAAGGGTGGTTATTACAGTTTTGTGTATATCTTCCTCAGCCATTTGCATTTGATGATATGCACGAACTAAATCAATTTTTTAAAATATAGTTTTATCTTTTAAATTAATATTTAAATCGTGAATGTAGTGTAACGGATATCGATCTGGAATAGTTATAAAATTTAATCTTCTATAATTACCACATGGTCTCCAATCATTTGGTTACTTTTTGGGAACTAAATGAAGAAGAGATGCAGTATGTGAGTTCGATGGCCGACAAATACCAGTTTTAACAAAAACTGAATTCGTTTTGATATCTTTAATATATTAGGATCAAGACGGCGAGGTTTAGAAAAAGGAAGAAGTTTCAATTCTGTGAACCGTATGGTGTTGCACTTGTTTAATGTAATCTGGTTCACAAGTAATACAATTTAAAATATTCGTTTATTTATTTTTAATAATGGGAATTCGAAGAGAGAAAATGTCGCAAAGACCAGTAGATCCAGAAATCTAAATTTTGTTGTTAAATCTGTTATTTTTTTATTTTTGACATCTACTTAAATACCAATTTTTTCTAAAATATTAGCACCAATAATTGGAGTTGATATATCGGCAATAATAAATGTATATTCAAAATCTCTTTTTAAACCTAAATCAAGTTTAAGATCAGAATTTCTTTTAAATCATTTGAATTTGTAAGAAGGTAAAACTGAAACAGTTGTGCCTGTATCAATCAAAAAATTTAATTTGTTAGATTTATCGAAAGTAAAAAGGCGACGTGTAAGTTTACTAATATTTCCATTATCAGCCACCGTCATAATGGAACGTTTAGTTTAGAATTTACATTTGAAATATTTGTGTTTGGAGTAAATCTGCAAGATTGAACACATTTGAAGCCATTATTCTTTAATTTTTGATGGTACCAACAAATATAATTTTGATTATTATTAAATATATATATACAATATATTTTTGATTATTATTAATGAATTTATTATTATGAATTTCTTGATCTAGATCTATACCCCATCTCTAGATCTGGATCTAATTTGCAATTCATTAATATCTGTTGCAATTTTATTTAAATTTTGATATATTCGGGTTGTTAAGTCAGTTACATTTTTAATGCATTGTTCTAAAATATTATTATTATTATTATTTGTTGTTGCTATTAAAGATACTTAAGGTTTATTAATTAAATGGGAAATTTTATCAGCCAAAATAATTTCATCTTTATTTTGATTATTAGGAGAAGTTAAATGAATTTGAATTTGTTGAGGTAGTTTACGAATCCATAATATAAAAAGTAGTTCGTGATTAACAATTAAGTCCGAGCCAGTTAAAGAAGCTCTGAAGGTGAACGATCCCCAAGTTCAGTATTTGAAAATAATTGCTCCAATCTCCTTTCTTTACTAAGAGAAAATCTCTCACAAAGAACTTTCTTAATAGTCTCGTATTAACTCGAAAACGGAGGAGTATTAATAACATCGATAATTTTGAAAATAGTTTTTCGTTAAATTGCAATTAAAAAATTTTAAAATTTAATGTTATCATTATAAATGTTGTTAATTTTAAAACCATGCTTCAGGACACTCATTCTAAAACGGAGGTAATTTAATAGAATTGGAATTCGGTCTAAAATTATGTGTATGAATGTCTTGAGTTAAACTTAGTGTTGTATTTAAATCTGTATTAGAGTTCATGATTTCATTTCGTGTTTCCGTTGTTGTAAAAATACGTGTGTGCACATGGGTGATTTATGCATGTTTGGAGAAGAAGTTTACAAATATTTAAACAAAAATTAAATTTAAGTTTGAAATACGATATAAAATTGAATAAAATTAATAAAACTAATAATGATATATATATTTTAATATAATATATATACTCGTATATCTATATATATTCCAAATAAATAACTTGCTGTAACTTTTATTGATGCAAAAATTGTTGATATTGATGTTGATTGAAGCGTTGGTTGATATTTTAAGTCTTCATAAATAATCAATTCAATTTCAATGGATAGGATAGTAGGATTGAAATTCCCTTTAATTTTTATTGCTTTTTATTTCTTGTCGCAGAAAGAACAGCTGAAAGTTTAGTAAATTGTTTGTAGCTTATGATAGATGTTATTTAAAAAAAATCCACACACAAATTTTAAAAACTGCATGATTAAAATTCAGTTGTACAAATTTTTGTTAATACACAGGCACACACACACACACACACACACATATATATATATATATATATATATATATATATATATATTTTTAAGTTTATTTTAAAATGTTTTATGATAGTTTACATCTTCGCCAATTATATAGAGAACGATTTATATGTGAATCTCTACACGATACGATTTAATAAAATTTGATCTTATTTATTTGAAATCGAAAATTATAATGATTCAGAAAAATGAAAATATTCGAAATTAAAAAATCAGTAACATGTAAATTAAAAAATTGAAAATTGCAAGTTACAAATGATAAAGTAGGTTCCTAAATACGTGATGCTGAATGAGGTCACAGGAGATATTGCTTGCATAGCATTATGATCCTTAAAGCGGAGCATAATGTTTCGTTCTGGAAGTGAAGCTCCGGCGGGGTGATTATCTGTCACGGTCTAAAGGCGGTGTTCTGACAAACTTGTAGCATCTTCGATTGCATCTCGTTAGACCCGGCAATACAATCGGAGTAGCTTAGTTTACATCCGTCTTTTTTTTCTGAGTGTCGATGTCTGCCCTGGAAACTGTACCAATAACCATCAACCCCTCGGGTAGCCTATGGCACATTTTTAACAACGGGAAAGTTCTCAATGTCCGAAAGTAGCACTGAGTGATTAATGGTGTCAAATGGTGTGTCTTCGCCATAGGGAAAAGGTAATATTATCCTCTCTTTTTGATTGGTTTCCTCGGATTAACTAGCCGAACCACCGTACCACTAGGTCCAACGACACGTGGTCAGCGAATGAAATTTCTACTCGGTCATCGCTCGTTGAGTTCGACAACCATTTGTCTCAGAGCTTGATTGCCTCAGAGGAGAAGCTGTAGGATCATAATTGTTCTTCCCACGATTTTATATACATATGTATATAAAATGAAACAAATTGAATAGTAAATGCAATTCAAATATACTTTCACAAACATTTGTAGTTCACATATGAATGTAAATTTAATATTAATATAGAAGGAAATTTGTTTAATGAAATATATATATTAAGTTAATAATAATGATGTACTCCAACATTCCGTCCACTTTGAATAACCCGCGGTCTTCTTTGGATGGAGGCATATCTAATTTCCGTAACGCAAGGCGTAACACTTTTGATGCTGTTTTTATATCGGCGTAGCGTAAGATGTTGACCACCCGTCCACAAGCTGTCAGTGAGGAGGCAAACTGTCGTCGAGTGCTCCAACTTCCAGGTTAAGCTTCGGCTTAGTCCATTTCGCTCACTGTTGCATGGTCATGGACCCGTTGGAAGTCGAAAAATAACCGTGACTACGATCTAACTAGTGTAGTTTCTCTGTTGATTCGTGGTCCTCTTTTACAGACAGGAGCGAGTCTCTTATTACCAAATGAGCTGAAGAAATTGTTTCACCGTTGTTTGGATCTATTGGACGTGAAACCATAATTACCTTGACGTCTATAAAAATAGTGGACCGCTCTGCGAATGTTAAAGTTGATTCTCCGTAGCGCGCGTTAAGGGATACTTAGCACTTTTGACGGCTGCCTCCCACAGTCCGTCGAAATAGGGTGAGCGTGAAGGGATGTATATAAATTCCATTCCGCGCTCTTTTACGAACGCGCCAATTAATTTGCGTCTGCCTTGATCTTGTAGCTATTTCGAAAGCTCTTTAAGGCGTGAGTTGGCTTCAAAGTTCGTGGCGTTATCGCAATACATTTTCTTCGGATTTCCCCGACGTCCGCCGAAGCTTTTAAGTACAAAAGAAAAAACGAATTAGTAGACAGATCAGCAACAGATTCAATGTAAACTGCTTAAGCAATAGAGCAAACAAAAACTGCTACATAGGCTTTATTAGGTGGTCTTCCTATGATATTGAGTGTGCAGTATAGAGGTCCACAAAAAATCTACCCCAGAAAAATAGAAAGGTCTAACTACTTTAAACCTATCTGCTGGCAAATGTCCCATTATTTAAGATAATAATATTGGAAATCTAGCATTTTTCGGAAACTTTGAATTCTTTTAGCGACCGTCGACTCTTAATAATGATAAACTTCAATTTTTTGTGTGTGCTTTTTTAATCAATACAGAACTATTTATGAGTCCGACCAAAAGGTTATATATTCAAACGAGGTTTTTAGTAGCGGCTTAACAAGTAGTAGGGTCACACAAAGCTCTAATCTACCTTCGATTTGGCGGTCAATAAACCTATTGCAGGAGCATTGTCATGCGAACTTCTAACGTATAACCAACATCCATAAGCGCGTCGGCGTTATACATAATAACAAATCTGGATACTTCTATTTGATGTACTTGCTCCAAATTATCCATGTGGAATTTAAATTTCGGGGAATTGATTTATCCCATGCCAATTCAATAGCCAGAGTTCCTGCAATAACATTTTAACATTTGCTATTATAGAGCATAGTTAGACTTACGGGTAAAAAATACGACCTGAGACTGATAAAATACTTATGTTCGTCGCTTTTAAATTTATCGAGCTGTGTCAATTTTAAAATTTATCATATTTTTTTTTTGGGGTATCATGTAAGCCCTAGCTTTTTCAGTTTATCGATTCCGTACTCTTATAACAATTTTGCGTTATTTTCTTTTTTTTTTTAACAAATTCGGAATGCATTTTGCTAATTTAAATCCTCCAAAACTTAAAACTTTGACAACTTCTTCTTGAACTTATTTTACTTCTGCACTATTATGAGCACCAGATAACGTATCATCCACATAAGACTCTTTTCGGATAACACTTGAACCTAGTGGATATTGGTCTGGATATATATCACCTAGCAGCTGCAAACAAGGAATTGCCAAGAATGGAGCAGGCGCTGTTCCATGAGTTATGGTATTCAGGCAATATTTCTTAATTGGGTCACTGGACCTTTTCTATAAAGAATGAGTTGGAATCTCTTGTCATCATCATTTGTTGCTTCTTGGAGGTACATTTTTGTTATGTAAGCCCTTATTGCCCATTTACGACAACGAAAATGTAGTGTAGTGGTATATAACTCTGGTTGTATAGTTGGCCCAACCACTAGGATTTCATTTAATGAAATAAACGACGTACTATTGCAGGAGGCATCAAATACTACTTTTGAATTGGTAGCTACTTTGGAACATTTTAATCTACAGTTGCTTTATTGTATCTTTGTTGATAACCTGAAATGGACTTAATGAGACAAAAATCGCCAATAGCTTAAAAGTTATTTATGCGAGGTTTTATTGAAGTCGATACTCTGCCCCTTTCGCTAGCCTCAATTTGCTCAATGCCAGCTATTGAAGAACTAGAATCTAGCAACGCTCGAGATATTAGCTTTTCGCCACATTGGCTTTTTATATTAACTAGTGCCGTTGCCAATGTAACTACAATAATACCGAAACATGGCTGACAGAATTTTGAGACCTATTTGTAACGGACGAACAATTTGACCACCTGAAGTAATCGATTAATCGGAGCGCATTTCATTTTGTAAAATTTAATCTTTCTGCTATCGAAATATTTTCAAATAAACTACTGGATATTATAGCATGACCCTCTGTATTGAAATTGGGCATTTACTAGCATTCCCTTCATTAAACTGAATTATAATTTAAACGTTTGGCTGACTTATGCTTCACTTCACTTCCAGTGATTCCATTTCGGTAGCTTTGAATAATCTGGCTAATCATTCCATTTGGGCCTTGTTGACCCATCGTCTTTTGGCATGTAGCTAGATGTATTAAAGAAACATTTACTCTGTCATAGTCATTTACTAGTGAAAGGAGCTAGTCATAAATAGCCGAAATGGTGTCTACAGCGTTGCAGAGGAGGGAAGAATTCGGATTTATAATTATAGTAATGTTACATATCAGCTGTTCGCTGCCAAAAAGTATAAGGCACTTTTTGTCTTATCGCTCAGCAAGCCTTTGCAAAACTTTGATATAATTTTCATCGGTAGTTTGAAATGTGTTCAAGTATGTAAAGCTTCACCAGATAAACAATTTAGAAGGCGGATAAACTTTTCAATATTTGAAAGAGAGAATTCCTCATGAATTAAATTGTTAAAAGTACCAATAAAATGTTTGCATTGCGTATTTGCCACTGAAATTCGGCAACTTTAAATTAGGCAAGCGATTTGCCCAGGGAACTGCAATACTGAATGTATTTTCTTGCACAGAAACCGCGCTTATCATCGTCTACATCTATTTTTCCAACTACAGTTGATATGTCATTTGTTTAATATATGAACTTATAGTATCTAATCTGCACTCCAGATCCATTGTATTCCAAACGGCTAAAGAATCAAGTAAATTTCTTATACGAGTGATATTTTTTTCGTGAAGTGTACTACTGCTGTTTTAATGTAGCATTGGAGTTTTTAAGGCGATAGAAGAAATCAACAACGAATGTCTTGAAACTGTGTGCAACATACTTTTGTTTGAAGTTAAATTAACGAAATCGCTTGATATTAACTATTGTTTGCGAAATACTTTTAAATCAGAGATGCTCAACAATAAAATTAACAAATTAACACTTTCACACAACTTCAGCAAAAAAAAGTTGTCAAAGGGAGAATTAGCGCACCCTATTACTGCTTACTTATAAATTTATTAACTTGCTATTTCATTTGATTCAGCATTTAAACAAAAAGTTTGTGCCCTTGTATACAAGTGCCTAAAAATTTCGATCTTATATTCAAATTAAAATTACTTTTCTAATAAATTTGCTGGAATACTGAAAATAATTAAATTTCTCAAATAACATTAGCTTTTCAAACTCAAATTTTATTATTCATAATTTGAATATAGCAATTCAATTTAGACATTTGTATATTCATATAAACACATGTGAACTTCACTTAGGTCACTAACCACATGCCCCTGTAATACCATCACACATCTTACGACTATTTCGATTATAAATAATCCAACGCTACAATCCTAACGTTAATCTGTTAACACACAGCAGACGCTTACCAGCAAATTTCAATATTACAATTGGTCTCCAAACTTCAGTGTCCCACGACCGTCCAACAAACAAAGATTTTTCCTTTGGTCCAAATAATCTTCCACTCTCAAGTTTTGATTGCACACACGCAGCCGCGAGACTGAGAAGTCTTTATATACTTTTATATGTATGTACGTGTATGTATGTAAAATAAACGACGCTCGCACAATGAGAACAAATACATATTTTTATTCATTTAAAGGTTCTGTCACGGTCGTTAAAATGTTCGCGAAGTTATTTTGTTTAACAAGTTTAACATTTTTTATTTTAAAAATGTTAAAAGTACCGAAATATACACTTCTTCGAATGAATTAAAAGATGTCGCGGTGTGTGTTGAAAATTATATATTAAAAAATTAATTTGTTATTTCAGTCGTTCTTACCGGTTTACGCTTATTATGTACATACATATGTATATATAATCGGGTTTTTTTATACCCTTGAAACATTGCAGGGCGCACTGCATTATTAATTTATTAAGTAAATACAATTTAAATATACTTTCACAAACATTTGTAATTCAAATATGAATGTAAATTTATTACTAATTCAAAAGCATAGAAAAGTCCAGAAGTTTCCAAAGATCTCCGAATGACTCGAAATTTCATCAGATTGTTTCTATGATACCTGATAAAGTTTACAAGAAAATACATGTCGGGAAATGAACTGGGGACTGACCATTCGAAAACAAATCTTATGTCGCCACGGAATGGGTCGCTCTCCAAAAGTTACCAACCAAATGACTTGAAATTTCCGAGATGGTTTTTTCTAAAAAGAAAATTCGCGAAGTGGACCGACAACTGACCTATTCAAAAAAAAAACTCTTATGTCTATTTGAAATGGACCTATTCGAATAAAATTTTGTTTATGGTTCGATTTACTTGAAATTCGGTATATCGGTATCTTTTTGCTTAGATTAAAAGTCAGATTATTCTTCTCTACAGGAAGTGGACCAGGACATAACCTATTTGAAAAGAGCTTGAAATTCGGTGCATAGATGGCTTTTTGTTTTGATGAGCAGGAAACTACTTTTCTCTCCGTGAAGTAGACCGAAGACTGGCCTAATAAATAAGTCAGACTATTCCTTACTCCGGGAAGTGAACCAGCCTTCTTTTCACCAGCCTCACCTACCACACTGTTTAGTGGAAACAACGTATTAATTAGTAAAAATAATATATTTTATTAAAAGAAAGGCATATAAAAGGGAATATGGTTAAAGAAATATACAAAGTATGATATACTTATATACAAAGTGGTGTATACAAGTATTTGTATTATATATTAAGAAAAGTATATACAAGTTTAATACAAGATATTACCTTCAGTATGTACGTGTAAATATGTCTTGTACTACTTGTACACGTATGCTGATATTGTTTGAGCTGCTGTCATCGAATAAAAGACAAAGAGCTCAAAGCGAACATAGCATTAAATAGTTTAATGCTATTTCGAAAGGTACCGCTGGTAAATTTCGAGCAGCGCTGTCGCATTCCTGCGAGCAGTGGCTTCCAAATTTTGAAGGCTTTCGGCTTCAATGCCCACTAAGAACAAAAATGTCATGCCTGGGTACAGACATACGAAAGAGGAGATTTAATGGGAGGGGATAAGGGAAGCATGAAATTAAGATAGGGAGGAAAGGAAAGCCCGTTTGGTCAAGTGGGGTCATCCGACCCTCCTGCTTGTTTACCGAACGCAGCCATGTGTGCCGTGCTAACTCCTGCTCCTGCTGTAACAGTAGCACCCCTTAATCCTGACCAATTATGTCTGTATGTCTATATGTCCATTGGTGCCAAACGCGTATTAACAAATATATATCTATTTACACATATACTAATTTAGTCTTCAGCTATGCTATAGATGTTTATTGTTGAGACTTACCTCGATTTCCTCATTTTGGCTTTATTCCTTGTTTTTCTTTTGGGTCTTTTTTTGTTGATGATAGCGAAAGTGATATTTCTTTTTATTTATTTTTTTTTTCTTTTTGACCTCACAATTTGTAACACTGGCCTATTTAATCTTTCCGCAGCGTTAGTATGCGGCGAGGAAAATGCAGTTTTGATATGAGTGGTCCCATACTTTTCAATAATCCAGTCAAAACTTCGAAGACAAATTGTTTTCCGTTATCGGATTGCACATATTCAGGGATTCCGAATATATGAGAAACTCCTTCTTCTAAATATTTTACCACGATAGGCGAAGTGGCATTGGGCATAGGTTTACATAACACAAACTTTGTAAAATGGTCAAGACTCACAGATACGAAGACATTACCACTACACGTACGCAAGTATGGAACCATGAAATATGTTGTTTCCCCATAACTAAAATCAGTCACTATCCCTGGCCAATTATATTTTTTGCGTATCTATGTGAGTAACTAGTGAATACTTCCATGTCCAGCTGATAGTGAATCATGTGCGGACTCCACTAGGCTTTGACGAAGCCCAGTTTGAGCCCAGAGCTTCCAAGTATGATTCGCTTACAGTTTTCTCCCCTGTGAACTGCGTCTGTTTATTAACGATATGGTGAAGCCAGGTAAGATATCCTTGTTTTCTTGAGCTCGTCGGATTCTTCCCATTTGAAGAAAGGGGAATCGAGACACGCGTCAAATTTGCGGCTGTTTAGTCGATTCGATGATAATGTGCGATGCAACCACACCGTTCGTTGAGGCGTCGCATTGAATATAAAAATGTATGTTAAAGTACGAATAGTGGAAACAGGCACCGAAATAAGACTCTGTTTTAGTTTTTCGAAAGCTTTTTTAACCCCGTCAGTAATCAAAAATTTCTTTATTCTCTACTTTGATAGACAGTCTTGCAGCGGAGCCACAATGATCGCATAGTCTTGCATGAACCTACGGTAACACCCTGTCAATCCAAGGAACCGCTTAACTGCTTCGGCTTTCGTGGTTCCGGAAAGCCTCTAACTACTGCTATCTCATTGGCGTCTGTTCGTATGCAGCCGTTCCCTACAACATACCCGAGAGACCGGACTTCTTTGAAGCAAAATTTACTCTTTTCAACGTTTATAGTTAGTTTAGCTTCACGAAGACACATAGATACCTTTACTACCAACAACATGTGGTTAAAAAAAAGTTTTCTGAACAAATAAGTAAGTCATCCAAATAGTATCACCTTGTCCATAAGTCTACACATACGTTGCAGCATTGCACAACCAAAGAGGCACGACTGTAAGCTGATACAGCGGTCTCCCAGGCATAGTAAAAGCGGTTGTCTCTCTCGACTTTGTTTCCTTCGGAATTTGTCAGAAAGCATCCTTTAAGTTTATAGCTGAAATCTAGGCAAAGTCTATTCTTCGTACCCTTTATAACCAGAGAGACTGGTGAGTTCCAGCTACTATTACTTCAATTACAACCATTTCTTGTATTCAGTCTAGTTCGGCATACACTAGATTTAGTATTGCGGGAGCTATAGAGTAGTGCCTTTGTTTTACGAAGGGATTCTCATTCTATACCTTCATCAAATGTTCCTCTGTATCTGTTTTTCCTAAGCCAAACACAGCGAAAGAAGAGAACTGGGCTTTGACTCGTTCCAAGGTTGTATTTTCGTCATGAGGCCATGCTGAAGTGCCTCGAAAGACAAGTCACTTTCGGTCGGTACAAGTTTTACAACGACAGACTCATTCACACTTTTGCTTACCACACACAAACCAAAAGCCTGCCAGAAGTAAATACCGAGATTAACCTCTTGTTGCACAATAATAAGTAATTCCAAGTCTTTTGTTGCGTTATCTCAAAGGACGGGCAACTTGGTAACTTTAACTACTGCTGTTCTTCCTCCGTTGGCTGTCTTAATGTCCTGGGTATTGATTGGCATTATGAGGTGTTGCTTGCCTTTGAAGAGGTTTTCGGAATTATTCCCCAAGCAGCTGGCTCCGCCACCTGAGTCCAAAAGTGCTAACACTTCAAAACTTACCTGGCAACTCTTGCGAGTGCGAAGTGAAAAAGACTGTTCTCCATATTTGATTTTCAAATTTCAAATCAAATATACTACAATATATAAATTAATTCAGGCAAGTGCCTCCTCTGAAACTGAACAAAGTTAAGTGAGAGTGAATCCTTTTAAATAAAAAATTGTGTTATTTGCACGGATTGGCGCTCCATAAAAACTAAATAATAAAAAAAAAAAAACAAACAAACAGAAAGCTATTAACAAATAGTTTAGACTAGGTAAACAGAGACAAATATGTAATAATAATAATAAAACGTTCAGGTTTTAAAGAAATGCACCTAAAAGTATGCAGGAAAATTTGCTTTTGCTTATGCCGATTCCAAATAAGAGTTGCCAAAAAGCCGTGTTGCAAAATCCCCTGGCTTTTTTTGGTACTAAATTGGTCATTTTGCAAAAATTGGACTAAATCGGTCCCCACAAAAGGGGAACGTTAACCAAAGCCAACATCAACAAAAAGCGCCACAATGGCGAACACAACGATTGGAAAATGAGCCTTCTACTCTTGTAATCCCTTTTAAGACTACCCTAATAGCCCCTTCATGGGCTCTATCGCTCCTTACCGCTGCAAAGAAAGCAGTAATTCAAACGGGAGTCGATCGTTAAAAAAAAACGATCACTCCAAAAAAATAATGAGCAAAATCAAAACAAAATTTTCAAAACTACAAGGGATGAAAACAACATGAGCAATAATCGATTTCAATTGCTTTCTGATGCTGTTGATCTAGTGCGTGGGCATAGAACGTCCAAGCCGCCGCCAATTTATATTAGAACAGCGCACTCTAACAACCTGGACAATAAATTGGTAGATCTAATTGGGAAGGGGAGATATCCAGGAAGTGAAAGTGCACACCTACGGAGAGGTTAGCTATCGCAGGGTGGCAGGTAATTCCGAAAAGGAAAAGAAATCCTTCTACACCTTCCAGCTGAAAAGTAGCCGTAGCTTAGCAGTCATCCTAAAGGGCATTGAACACTGTGTAAGTCTCTCGGAAACGTGTTCAACATTAAAAAAAAAGGCTAACATACCTTAGCCAATGTTTAGGGTTAATATTGAGCTAGATTTCCAGCTCTTCCCATTAACAAACTGCGGTACCTTCGTCACCGTCGTATTTCCGTGGAAGAACCACATAAGCGAACAGATCTTGTTTAATGCCATAATTGTCAAGAATTTGGCCATACGCAGAGATATTGCACTTTACAAAGTATACACGTATGTGTCATTTGTGGAGGTTAACACAGTTAAAAATACTGTATAACACCCAAAAAAAGCCCCTGAGTATAAAAAAATAGCAATTGCGGTAAAAATCACACCGCCAAATAGAGGGCTTGTCCAATATATATTTCACTGCAGTAAAAAGGTTTCTAGCAACATTCCTGCCTCTCAGCCTCACCCTCAGCCTTAAGCAAAAGCTGCCGAAACATAGTTTACTAATACCAACTCTGTATCCTACGCTCAAGCTTTAAAAGGTGTACTTC